AGGATAGAGGCCTTGTGATGCTCTGCAAAGGAAGCCACCTGCGGCTTGGAGGGCGCCGCCTTGTAGCTGTCGGAAAAGTTTACATAATGCGTGGGATTGCCTTCGGCGTCTTCTAGAACGCTGGGGGCATTGACGATTTCAGGAGGTCCGATGACCAGACGGCATTCCAAAGTCTGCATGTCCCAGATTCTGATAGTCTTGTCTCTAGAGCCGGAGACAATTTTGTATCTGAGTTCGAATTAGTACACGAACGAGCAATTGATTGTATGGGGAATATCAAGGGTGGAACATACTCATCAAACTGTAGACAGTAGATGCTGTCTGTGTGTCCGTTGAGATACATGGGACAAGCCTTGCCCTCCTTCCATTTCTGGGCGAGCTCAGCTTTGGCACGGTAGATTTGCCTCCAGTTCTTGGAGGGAGCAATCTCAGGAACGCCCAAGCCAGTGCCGGGCTGGACGGGCTCACTGGTAGCATAGGTGGTGGTCATTTCTCGCAAGCAAGACTCTCGCCAGATGTGCTGATTACGGACCACCTCGCTCCAGTGTCGGGACACAACACTGGCTTTGGCAAGGGCAGTCGCATCAAGATAGGCCAAAACGTGGATAGCGAGTTCGGACGGAAGCTCCTTGATAAAATCAATCCTGCTGATGTTGCTATCTTGGCCAAGCATTGACCCATCTTCACTGACACCAGACTCCATGAAAGGCTCGGTGACGACAATGCCAATTCCGCTCTCACGGTCATTGCTATCCTCGCTCGAAGATTGCAGCCATTGAGCGTGCATCGCCTGTCGGCTGTAATACTCGTTCTGCAGCGCCACCGAGGCCTTTGCGGCGGCCCCAGTATTCATGGGGATATAGGGGGGCTCATCTCCCATCGCAGGAATAGGCATTTGAAGGTCTAGCTGTTGCTGTTCGTAAAGGCCATCCTCGGTGCCATTAAGGCCGTAGAAGGACCTCGAGCGACGAAAAGGTGCGGCGTGGCGAAGGCGGTTCCAGGTGTGGTGTGCGCTGGTCGGTCTGGCATTTGGCAGCTGCTGGTTCTGGTTGAACTCAGAAGGCTCAGCCGTGACCGATTGCCGACGATGAACATGAACCATCCCTTTGAGGGACAGAGAAGCCCGACGAATGACCCCTTTGATGGTGCCGGCAGTGCTTTGGGCGCGGCCACGGCGCTTTCGAGCAGGCAATTCATGTGTGTCTTCGGAGTCGTCGATGGCAACTTCGGTGATTTGTCTGGGTAGGTGCGAGTCGTCGGGGCCAAAGGCAGTGTGTTTGTGGTGTCGAAGGAGATTAGAGAGGCTCAAGCTGCGCATACGCTGGTCATGGGGCTCGCCCGGAGCTGGTGCCGCAACACCAGCGGCCTGGGTGCGAGCAGGCGCCCCCATCACGTAGGACTGAGCGTTCGCCATGATGTACGTCTGAAAGTCGCGGCTTGTAGAAGAAGTGTTGGTGGTACGAGGTACAGTTCAAGCCACTAGTCGAATGTGTAGAGCGTCGATCGGTATGTCTTTGGTGTGTGCTCGAAGGATTGAACGTGACCGAGATGCGTGGATGGCGAATGAAAGACTAGACAAAGGAATTCGTTGAACACGGAGAAGCTCGCGAAGTGGAAGATGAGCTCGTCACGGTGGAGTTTCGTCTTGTTTGTCGGCGGAAAGGACGACGGCCGACTAGTCTAGAGATGGTCTGCTGAAACACGCAGCGGATCCAGCAAAAAGAGGCGTCGACAAGCTAAAGGGATGGACGGGGAGGTTCCTCGCAAGACAAGACAATGCAAATCGAAGAGAAACAAGATATTGGGAGAAAAAGCAAGAGCGAGCGCTTGTATGAATTGAATATTGGCTGTTGGAATGCGGCAGGGGAAACGAGATGGGCGGTCCTGCTATTGCGCCACGCGGCGGCTGACAACACTGCCTCGTGCGTGTGAGTCTCTGGACTCGTGTCGGCGTTACTAGTAGTGAGAACGAAGTGGAAACGGACAGCTGCTAGGCGGTCATGCGGAATCCTGTTGCGGCGGGCGGCAGCAAGCAGAATATGGGAGAAACGGGCCAGAAGAGAAGAGGCAAAAGAAACAAAGCGGTTAAGGGAGAAGAAAAGAAGAGGCGAAGAGAGTGTTGCGACTCAAGATGAAATGTTTACTACGAGCGTTTTAGATAAAAGGAAAAAAAAAAAGGGACCGCCCGATAGCGGTACGTATCGCTGAGCCTTTGTCTGCCGCTAATGCCACTGCCGGGCTGTGTTGGCGCATGTACCGCTACCCGGACGCCTGTGCGAGTATCTGTACTTGTGGACGCTTCTACAAACTTTTACGCCTCTTTGCGGGTGATGCAATGTTCACCAGCATGAAGTTATACAGCGCCCGCAGTTTATATGGCTGAAACTCATGGCATAAAGCATGGCCAAACTGACTTTTTACTGACAATGCTGTTGCAGTGTTAACAACACATATCACGTACCTTGTAGGATTCGACAAGAGGTAGCCCGCACAGGTCATCCCGTCAGGGGCATCCCCAGAGTATTTTGGGACGGAGAACCACAAAGCGTCGATGCCTCTCTCCACCGCGCTTCCCGTAGTCTTTAGTCTAGTAGGGGTTAGTGGTCGAATCCGGGGCATCTCAAGGGGGAAGACGCCAGATGAGCGTTTGACCAATGGCTTGATTCAATGCGTTGCCATGGACGCTGCAGCAAAAAGCAATCATCTTCAAAAAGGTACCTACTTGTGCCTCTGTCGTGGGGAACAAGTGCCGTGTACCGTACCATGATTTGAAAATCTCCTCTCCCCTCCCCAGGGGGCAACAGCCTTCCGCAGAAAATTTTTGAAAGAAAAAAGGGTCTCTCCCGCAAAATGGCGGGCAGCCATATTCCCTCCATCTCTCCAGCTCGTACCGATACTTGCTTCTGGCCGATCTATAATAAAGCGGAGCGTCCGAACATCAATCGAAGGCTTTATTGGGCTTCTATTTTTCACTAGCCTCTCGATTTTTTCCTCTCTGTGCTTCTAGCAAATTTTCCGCATCGTCTGCCACGGCCTTTCCGGATCTTCCTGCAGCTTGGATTGGACCAGCTCCAACGGCCCTCTCTGGATTTTTCGGCTTCTTGAAGGATTATTCGCCACGTATGGCTGCCCACCTGAATGTACGGTGTGATTGTGCCTGCCAAGCAAAAGGCGGTTGGGCAAAGACGACTGGCTCAAGTCCCCCCAACAGCCCATGTCTTGAGAGTGCATGCAGACGAAATTAGCCAGTCACACAAAGTTGTACCATTGCGATCATTATTAAAAAAAAAAAAAACACGATGAAGCAAATAGCATTAGACATATGGTATTATCCACTGCAATGTTTCTTTTCTTTTAAAACATTGATCCATGACAACCGGGTACGACGTGTGCGCTGGCTCGTCTCCCTACCGCTATAAGAGATTGGTGGCTGCAAGAGAATGAGCAAAAGACACCAAACACAGACGCAGCTAATAGCCCCTGGGCACAGCACCGCACCCAGTCCAGCAGGGCAATGATCGCCTCCCTATCCCTGCCGATCTTGAAAAGGGCAGAGAAAGATTAGCCACGTTTTCGGGGGTGGAGTCGTACGGCAGATTTCGCCATTCGCCTCGCCTCGAGATGGTGGCCTCGAGGTAGCAGCAGTAATACGGAGCAGATGCAGCGTGGTAGTATTTACGGCGACAGGGCTTACTTGCATGTGCTCAGCTCACGTCCACTAATAAACCAATAGCATGTAAAAGCGCACATACTTGAAGTCATCTGAGAGGGAGTCCTACCTTTCTCCAAGTATAGCTGCTTACCAGTTCCAAGACTTCACGCAATATCGCTCACCGAGACTTGCTGCCCCTACAACGCCAGCAAACCACAGCATCACCATGGCTCCTCTAACCAGACTCCCTCTCGCATACCGCCTCTTCTTCCTCTATCTAGAGCCCATCTCTGCCCTCGTCGGCGCGTTCTACACCCACTTCCGCCAGCAGCGCTACCTCGAGCTCCTAGACAGCGCAACCGCGCCAGCCAAGCTCGTCCCGCTGAGCACCTCCGTGGCCATGTCTCAGCTCGCAAACATGTACTTCTTCTTCGCCATCAACGAGGCGCTCGTTCTCCGGTCAACCGGCGATCTGCGAGTCTGGCGTGCTGTGTTGCTGGTGCTTTTGATTGCGGACTTTGGGCATTTGTACTCGATGAAGGAGCTGGGTCCGGGCATCTTTTACAACGTCATGGATTGGAACGTCGGCGATCTTGGCAACGTGCCCTGGGTATATGCGGGGGCCACGATGAGATGCTGTTTTCTGGCCGGCGTTGGCCTGTGAGGGTCATTGATGCGAGATCCGTCATATGATGCATCATTTATATAGGCAGTAGTCGCTTCAACTTCCAATTCTTCAACAGCAGAAAGCATCGTCGGCTCGGCTAGCAAGCCTCACATCGTCGGCTCGGCTAGTAGACCCGAATCGCATCCTGAATGAGTCCCACGGGGTCAAGCTTTCGGCACTCTTTCGGCGTCGGGCGACCCTCTCCGGCACACTTGCCCAATTCGCACGGCAAGTCGGCTTAAGTAAGCATTCTGCGCCGGCTTATCGCGCGCTCTCTTTGGTGGAACAATCGGACAGCCCCTCGGATTATCCCCAGCCAGGCGAAAATGGCCAACGAACGCCTCATCGCGTCGCTTTGTGTGGGGGTTTTTATGGAGGGGCGCCTCTGATCCCGCAGGACGGAGGTCATCGATGACCATTTCCCCAGGGCTCTCCATAGATTTGTGCGGGTAAAATGAAATCAGAGGCTGCCCCTCATCTTCTGACGATGGTGGGGTTGAGTGAGCAACAGGCAAAACGATGAGGTTGGGAGGATATATATTCTGCTGATTGTCTCCCCTCTTTTCTGTGCCACTTGTTCTTGTCTTGTAACTCCTTTCTCTTGCTTTTTCCTCAGTAGACAGGTCAAGCAGATCACAAATTTGCTTTCCACGTTAAGATTTTGATCAGTAAAAGACCAACATGGCTGTCCCCGACAAGTTCACAGGCTTCCAGTCCCCCAGCGCTGGCAGCTGGCTCGAGTTTGAAAAGAACTCATGGGAGCCCAGACCCTTTGGCGACTACGACGTCGACATCAAGACCGAATGCTGCGGTGTCTGCGCCAGTGACCGTCACACCATCAGCGGTGACTGGGGCGACTGCCCGTACCCTCTGGCCGTCGGACACGAAGTCGTCGGCAAGGTCGTGCGTGTCGGCCCCAAAGTCACTCTCGCCAAGGTCGGCCAGCGAGTCGGTGTTGGTGCCCAGGTCTGGTCTTGCTTGGAGTGCCGCCAGTGCAAGAACGAGAACGAGACGTACTGCAAGCACCAGATTGATGCCTATGGCGCCCCTTATCTTGATACCGGATTCACCACCCAGGGAGGATACTCTTCTCACTCTAGAATCCACGAGTACTGGTAAGCCAACTCTGGTTCCACTTCTTCGCTTATGAGAGCTCAGTTGACTGAATGACGTAACAGGACATACCCTATTCCAGATGCTCTGGAGAGCGCCGACGTAGCTCCCATGCTATGCGCCGGCATCACCGTCTACAGCCCCCTGAAACGCTTCGGCGCCGGACCAGGCAAAAAGGTCGGCATCGTGGGCATCGGCGGCCTGGGCCACTACGGCGTCATCTTCGCCAAGGCTCTGGGCGCCGAAGTCTGGGCCATCTCTCGAACTCGCGCCAAGGAGGCAGATGCCCGCAAGATGGGAGCCGACGGTTTCCTGGCCACCTCTGAGAAGGACTGGACCAAGGGCCACGAGATGACCTTTGACCTCATCGTCAACACCGCAAACTCCTTTGATGGCTTCGCCCTCAGCGAGTACCTCAGCCTGCTCGACATCCACGGCCGATGGAACTCGGTCGGTCTCCCCGGAGGCGAGGGCATGTCTATCCGAAACCAGGACTTCCTCGCCAACGGCTGCTTCATCGGCAGCTCACATCTGGGCAGCCGCAAGGAGATGCTGGAGATGCTGGATCTGGCCGCCACCAAGGGCCTTCACTCCTGGGTGGAGAAGATTCCCATCTCCAAGGAGGGACTGCAGACGGCTATGAACAAGCTGGGAGATTCGAGCGTGCGGTATAGGTCGTGCATGGTCGACTATGACAAGGCATTCGGGGCGTAGTGTATGAAGATGGTATGTAAAAAAAGAAAAAAACGATGAATGATGTGAAAAGATAGAAAATATGAGAGAGATATACCCCATGTTTATATTCGCACATTTTCGTACATTTTCGGATTATTCGCAGAAAACTGCCGTAAGCGTACGTAGTGCGGGCATTTGGTGCATGGAGTTCTGATGAACCTTGATGGACTATCTATGTCTCTGCCTGATAGGTCAGAACGGCAAGCAACAGTTCATGCAGTTGGCTTACAGACTCTGTAGAGGCCAATAAGCTCAACTGCTATTTTCTTCTCAGAGTACTTGCCGAGGATAGATGGCCTACATTACAGGCTAGTATCCATATCCAGCCACCTTGGCTCTCATACCCAGTACGCGTATACGATCAAAACGATGAGACCAAAAACAGGCCTCGCTACCATCTGATTACTAATTTAGGAAAAAAAAATGCTGTTGCAGTCAATCGTGCCCTCGTCTATTCCCTTTTCTGACATAAAAATCTCCATCTAAGCTTATCTCAAGTGTGTATGCCCCGAAAATTTCCGCTTGCTGAGCTCCAATAGAAGCTAGAACCAATACAATGCACACACTTTCGAGTCAAAAATAACCAGACTTGAATAGCCGCGTCTAGACGGTAATGATTCTTGATTTACAACAACAATCCAGCTCTTGATTATAATTCATCCCTAAAGAAAGCTAGTAACAGCAGCTCTTCGACAGCGAGTGAGTCACGTTCCACTCCAAAAAAATAGCCTCCCTGAGAAGACCGATTAGAAAATTGCCTAATACGGCAACTTTACCCAGCAGGGACCAACCCGGCGAGACAGATCGAGTTACTGGGAATGTGGGGGGGCTCCGGGCTCGGGCTACATTTTTCTTCAATTGTGCCTACTAAGCAGTAGATAGCATTGCCTTAGCTATTAGTCATTGCCCACCTCGATGACAATTGTAGTCTCGGTACATAATTAATTCCTTAACGTAATAAAACTATCTCGTCAATCGCTGTCCGTAACTCTACACTCAGCCAAGTTAGAATACAGCATTTTCCCAAAGTGGAGTCCAAGGCTGAGATTAGGTCAAAACAAGGTCGCAATTGGGCGGCCGAGCTCAGGAGACAGGGATGACTGTTTAGCCCGGCCCTTTTTGCCAACTGCCTACTCCGTATCTCTAGTGTCTGTTGGGTTTAAAGCCTCAGCTGGGTAAACATAAATAGGGCGCAGCGTCCCCCGTTGGTTCTTTTTCTTCGAATGTCGTGATGTTGGGGGGAGTGAAGTGATAGAGTAGACAATTACAAACAAAATCTATAGAATTTGCACAAGAAATAAAATAAAAAAACGCCGTTTTACCACAACAATCAACAAACATCACATTCGTTATTGCCAATTTTCAATTGCAAGTTTTCAACGCGCCAATCACCGAAATGTAAGTCTCTAGACAACTGTAGAAAAAACACACCTCCGCCAAAGCCTTCACTTACACGTATCACTCACCAGGGCTTCTTCTTCTCCTCCCCCCTTCTCCTCCTCCTCATCCTCCCCAATCTCTCTCTCCCTCACCCTCCGCTTCGCTCGTCCCGCCTCTCGCTCGGAAATCACCGCCGTCGGCATCTCCCCCTCCTCAACCATCGCCTACGCAATTTACGCCGGTGCCCAGACCGACCAGCCCTGGATCGATACCTTTGATCTCCGCTCCCAAACGAGCTACTCCAAAATCATCGGCTGCGTGGCCGCCTTTTCGCCAAAAGTCTACTCGTCGCCTTCTTCTCCGTCTCGTCTTCGCATCAGCACAGTCACATCAAGATCGACTCTAGCCTCAGCTTCAACTTCAACTTCAGCATCATCTTCATCCTCCGCCCTCCCTCGCATCGCAACCCTCTCCGCCACGCTCATCATCCGCGACTTCTCCTCCTCCAAGCCCATCCTCGAGCTCAGAGACGTCGCCTCCCCCATCGCCTGGTCCCCCGACGGCCGCTCCATCGCCGCCGCCGAGCCCCGCCACCGCGTCGGCGTGTGGGACGTCCGCACCGGGACCCGCACCGGCCGCGTCCCGGGCCACATCGACGCCGTGACGCACGTCGCCTTCACGCCGGACGGGCACCTCGTCACCACTTCTCGCGACGGCACGCTCCGCGTCACCAACCCTTCCACGATGAAGACGCTCTACAAGCTCGAGATTGAGTCCTCGTCAACCAATCCGCGTGACTTGGCCGTCTCGCCCGATGGCAGCACCATTGTCTCCATCTGGGGCACCACCGTGCACATCTGGATGCCCCAGCACGGCCAGCTTACATCATATGGCCTCTCCAGCACGCGTCCCTGTGAAGGCTGGCCGCTCTGCATCTCCCCCGACTGCCGCTACATTGCCTCCTGGACCGAGGAAGGCTTCGACATTATGGACGTGGCTTCTGGCGCGGTTATCTGCACTAAAGAGGGAGGGCCGTTGGTCACGTCTGCGGCCTTTTCTACTGACAGCAAGACACTTGTTTTGGGTAGAATGAGCGGCGACGTGGAAGTTTGGAATGTTTTGAATAAGGCGGATTTGAATTAGCTCTTTGTACATGTAGAGATACCAGATTTGGCATGCATGATTTTGGCAACAAAACCTAGGCGCCGTATCAGGAAGTTTTTCTTTTTTCTTCTTTTCCTTGGTCTTTCTAGTTCGTTTGTTATTACTGCATCATGCTTTCCTGCTCTTTGAATTGGTCTTCATAGTTACTTTGTTAGTATTGCAGTGCTTTATTTGGTTGTCTTGTATTTGTGTATTGGTATTTCATAAAGCATCTGTGTAAGCTCATAGCATCAGTTCAAGTAAATGAGTGTAGTATTATGTATTTAACCTTGGTATATATATAAGAAATGTAATAACAAAACTTTCACTGAAATGGGTATTTTCGCCGTATCCTTCCTTCGTGGCCTGAATCTACCAGGATCCAAACTTTTCCTCTTTCCATCTTCAAACCAGCAACAATTCTACCGCGCGTACCTCCGTATAGGTAGGTATATGTGGTGGAATGCGGCAACGCCAAACAGCTCATATTCTCCCCCCACCCTTCTTTGTTTCACCAGACAATGCCGCTCTCATTCCAGCTAGACAGTCCTCATCACATTATGTCAAAGTCGATCATCATCCCACGTTGTGTCCTCCTTCCTATGCTGTTCATTTCTCCATACAACAACAGTCGAATAAATATGTCAATTCAATACACACAACCGCCTGCAATCTTTGTTGGCAAAGTTCATCGTCCATTTAGGCAACCCAACCCAGGGTTTCCAGCATGCCACGAACTTCAGAAGGCGGCATGCTAGCCACACCCAGTTGTCGAACCATAGATCCTCGTCGCAGGCGCTGCAATCCAACCGCAAGCTTCCAGCCCTCGGTCTCCTCCACAATAAAGAGGTACCGCTTGGCTTCTTGATCACGAATTGTCGCCCGGAGCACATGCAAGCCCTTGGACTTCCACTCTCCAGTTTGTCCCGTCGATGACGGAATGTTGGTGTTCTTGAACGTGCGGTCGCACATACCAAGCCGACAACACTCCCTGCAAGTATGAAGCATGTCTTGCAAGTATAGGTCTGCTTCATCACCAGTCAGGGCGTTGCCACCGTCACGATCTGGTTTCTTCATCTTGTGAAAGAAGCCCGAGCTTCTTCCAGTCGCAGATCCCGCTGGCTGCGGTGCGTTCAGACAGTGCGGCAGACACCAGACCTCGACAAGCTTGAGCGTCCAAGCCTTGACGTCCCACTCGCGCTGGGGAACACCTCGGACATCGTCGTCGATAAAGAGCCCCTCTGTTGTGATGCGAAGAATTAATCCATCCGTCACCGTGCCGACTCCCGATATGAGCTGGCTGGCCGGTGTCTTGGTGAACTCGTTGTGGAAGAGATATACAGATTGAATCACAATTTTGTCAGGGTCGCTAGTCGAATAGGGGCCTGATCGCATTGAAGGAGGCGGCGTTGTTCGTGCAGTTGTTTGGGAGGCGGCCCACGATGCGTCGGACCCTGTGAGAGAAGACGTCGACTTCCTATGCCTTGGCTTGTTAGGCGGCGACTGGGCATGAGGCGGTGGTGGTGGTTGCTGTTGCTGTTGCTGATATTGTTGCTGTCGATGATATTGCTGCTGCTGTTGGTGCTGCTGTTGGTGCTGCTGCTGGTGTGGTGGTGGTCTGCTCGGCTGGTCGTATGGTCTGGCAGAGTACGTCTCTGATTCCACATAGCTGCTGTTGCTACTAACATGTGACTTTGCAGGACCATATGAGTGTCTCGCCGAAGGGTCTGTTCTTCTAGACGCAGATGAGGGAGCTTCGGACGGGGCGGCGGCAGGGGGTGGTGCCCTTTTCGTGGGACTCTCGCCTCTATCGAAAGACCTTTCTTGTCTCTCTGTCCTTTCTGACCGGTCAGGCGATGAGGTTGATGGCGATACTGTAGAAGGCGAGAGGGGAGGAACAGGAGGCCGGCCATTGGGCCACATGCTTGTCTTTTCGCCAACGCTAGAGTATGCATACGTGTTGCCAGCCCGGCTTGCTCGAAAATCAGTTGCTTTGGCCTCAGCGGCTGCTTTGGCCTCGGCGGCTGCTTTGGCCTCGGCGGCCGCTTTAGCTTCAGCCGCGGCTCTGGCTTCGACTGCGGCTCTGGCGTCTGCAATGACCTTTGCTTCTTCGGCCGCTTTGGCCTCGGCTCTGGCTTTGGCCTCTGCTTCGGCTGTTTTCTTGGCTTCAGCTTCTCTCCGTCGCAATTCTTCCCTTTGCCTCGCTTCCCTTTCTCTAGTCTCTCTTTCCAGGGCCTCTCTTCGCCTAGCTTCCTGTATCTTGGTCTCTTTCTCTATCGCTTCCCTTTCCCTGGCTTCTCGCTCCCGTTGCCTGGCCAGCTCCAACTCTTCCTGTTTACGTCTCCTCTCCGCCTCAGCTCGCTCCACCTCTTCTCTAGCCTCTCGATCTTGTCGCTCCTTGGCTTCTTTGGCACGTAATTCGAGCAGCTTTTTGGCGGCTGTTTCACGGCGCTTTTGCTCTGCTTCTTTGAGTCGCCTGTCTTCCTCCTTCTTCCTCATTTCTTCGCGAGCCTTCTCCCACGTTCCCTTTGGTGTTTCGGGCTTCTTCGCCTCTGACGGAGTAGGTGACTTTGGCGCAGGTTCAGGTGCTGGAGTGGGTTTCGACTTTGTTTCGTTAGAGGCCGGAAGATCTATCTTTGTAGGCGAACGCTGCTCTGAGCGAGAGTCTGCTCTCGGCATGAATGGTGGAATCGGTGCCAAGTCTGGCATACGAGGCAGCTTGGATGTTGGTTTAAATGCTGGTATCGACATCTTGTCTAAATCAGGAAACGTTTTTCGCTCTTGAGAAGCCATTGACACCTTTTCAAGCTCAGGGATGCTTCTTTTCTTCTCAGGGGAAAGGACACGTTTGGAATCCATTGATAGAGAATGCCTCTTTTCTGGCGAAGGCTGCTTCTTCTCAAGCTCTGGAGGGTTTTTTTCAGCCAGGGGCGTTCTCTTTGGGATATCAGACTGCTTCTGCTCAGACCTCAGTGGCGTCTTGTCGGCTTCTGGAGGTGACACCTTATCGTCCACCAGGGTCACCTTCTTCTTCTTCTTCTTTGGCGACGCTGATTTCTCGAATTCGGTAGGAGCCTTGTCCTCTGATGGCGGAGGCTGGCGCTGGCGTGCTGGCGGCCGCTCTGACTCTGACGCTGGTGCTCCTTTTTGGGATGGTGAGCGATGAGACGGTGATGAAGCTGGTTCGTTCTCATGCCTTGGTGGTCGAGGTGGTTCCTCCGACTGAGCATCCGCACTCTTCCAAGATCCATTAGATCTGTCGTGGCGTGGCGGAGGTGGTGCACCATTAGCGGGTCGGCTGTGAGGTGGCGGAGGAGGCGGTCCGTTTGGGTCAGATTGTCCTCCTGAATGAGGGCCGCCGAAACCACCCTGCTTGCCGTTGCTTGATCCATAAGAGCCATGTCCATTGCTGAATCCTCCGCCTTGGCCTCCCGATGTGCCTGGCCCTCTTGAACCATTCGAGCTTGGCACAGGTGCCGGTCCACCAGTCTGCATCCGTCCCAGGGACCAGGCCCCAATACCAACTCCCAGCATCAATGTCGTTACCGCCATACCCGAAACTTGAGCGCCACTCAGCCACATCTTAAAAGCCGGGGCCATTAGTTGAAACACGGCGACGCATATCAGCGCAGAAGCAAAGCCAGCCACGAAACTGTTGGTGTTTGGCTGCAAAGACGGCAGGTATAGAATGCCAGAGCCTGACGAGTGCTGCGGAATGACGAATATGTCGTAGTTGCCAGGAGGCAGGCCCGAAGGCGCCTCGCCATGCGGCGGTGGTGGAGGCGGCGCGGCCATGCTTGTCGATTAGATTCGTCTGTAGAAAAACAGCTCGATTGGGATTCGTGTACGGAGCTGTCAAGAGCAGGTGCCGGGGTGACCAAAATAAAATGCAATCGCCTTGAGTCTATGAGCGCATCGAGAAATCCATGAGTATAGTGGTGAAATTATCGCGATCAGGAATAGGCGTGTAAAACGAAGCCTAGTTGGCAAATGTCAGAAGCTGAACTCGAATCGCCGCGTCGCCCGCCTCCAAATTCCCAAATAGCGATATCGCGAACGAAGCAATCTGTTGATTGCGACAAGCACAACACCTCTCTATCTAGCCATTTCCCGGAAAAGGGGGCTAGACAAGTGAGATGAAGGACAAGATTGATCTCCGCGCTTTTGGGTCCTAGCGGGATGCAACTAACCAGTAACGACCGAGACAACCAAAGCACCGCTGAGAAAACAAACGCCGAGCTCCAGGTCAAAAGAGAAACAATCACACACACAAAACGCACACGCAGCACTGGAAGCTCTCTATGAAGCAGAGATGCGATGGAATTGACGCGCGTAGAGGATGAGGAGGCGTGGCCTCGACATGGGAAGGGGAGAAAAAAAATAAATTAAATTGCAAGAGGGCTTGGGGTGGAAGTGGGGAGGTGAGCAGAAGCTCGACTTGGACCGGGAGGCGGAAAATGGGTACATGTATGTTAAGAAGAGTGAAAACCCACAGCGGCCTCGAGTCTCGCTGTTTACCTGTGCGCCATCGCCAACCAAGCCCACCAGCCACGCTTCGGACCCCTGGCAGCCTGGAGGGGTTTCTGGAGGGGCGGGAGGCGCAAAAAGACAGCGGCTGGCTGAGGCCTGGAGGGCATTGGCCGCGTGGTGGTGGATGCCCCGTTAAAAACGTCACAGAGGGGGGCGCAAAGGCCTGGAAGCTGCGAAACCTGCTAGTATCAACGATTGATTTGACGCTGTAATGCCTGGCTGTATCCGCGGCATGGATATCTACAACCGAGCCAGCGCAATAACAAGCAGAAATGAAGCAACGTGGCACGACTGCGACTGTGATTCCGCCAGCCAAAGTCTTGACGTTTCATTCACTCTCTCTGCGGCATCGCATCCACCACAAAGCAGAGCTGCCCCTCCCCAGCCATCTCATCCCATCACTTGTCCCGCTCCAATGCCGCATCTCTGCAGCGCTCGCCTACGACCTACAGAGCGCATACATACGCGACAACAATTCTGGCCATTCACAAAGCCCAATTGTCGTTGCGACGCTGTTTCTTCAACCCCCGGTTCACGCACGAACAACATGAATGCTTTTCGCCAATCATCGCTGCTCGCTACCGCCCGGGCCCTGTCTCTACTGCCAAGCTTGCCAGGTAACTGGAGATTTCCATCCTCGCCCCCACGGCCTGTTACCGGCATCATTCTCTTGTTCTGGCTCACTGGGACTCGAGGCCGCTAGTATTTTGTTAGTGGGTGGGCAGAGCTGGGTTTCGAGAGTCGAAAAGGAACAACAGCGGCGTTGCCCAAGCAACTTGTCAACATGAATCCTGACTTTGCCACTCTAACAGGTGACGTACGCTCAATTGCAGCGTGAAAGTGCTTTCGTAGTCATTGAAGCCAGTAGTGTTTGCTAGACGCCTCAACCGAGTGCCGTCTGTTAATTGCTACAAGAGGTAAAGTGCAGGCTGATTCCTACAAACCTGGTACGTACCTGGCAAGCTACCAAATCCCAGCCCCGCGGATTTCGAAACCTCCAAGATGGTGTCGTCAGTTGTTCCAGACCGCGAGACGCGGACTGCAGCCATCGGTAGTTCAAGGCATCCATGTAAGGATCCATTGGGCAATGCCACGCTCTGCACGGCACAAGCAGCTGAGACTATGAATAAAACCTTACGAGATGGAAATCCTTGCAAGTTTGCAGCAAGTAGTGGCGGTGTGATACAGAGCACAAGCGTTGAGTTTCACGTGCTGAGCCAACCAGCCACAGCGCGAACTGGCAGTGACTTGACTGCGGTCACAAGAGCTCAGCGAAGCGCCAGGGGCGTATTCGGATAATTCGCGTTGCAACCTGCACATGAGCAGTTCCAATAGCAAAACACCAATCTCCAAAAATTACAGACAATTTCTGTTACGTCTTCGCTATTACTTATGATGCATCACAGTATATGGAATAGTACTTGTATTGCTTGAAAAATTGCCATAAGAGTTATCGTCACACCAGAAATCATTGACGGTACATCATGTCACCCCGCTCCCTGTGCCAAAAACATGTTGCGCCTCAAAAGCCTCGTTTCCAACAAGAACTGAAAGAAACAGTAAGGGGAAAGAAATACCGAATGCATTTGCATGCTCGTAAAAAAAGTGTTCTTCAACGTCTCGCTCGCTTGCTCAATCTCTTCAAACTCCCCCGCAGTGAAATAGAAATAAAACCAGGTGAAAAATGATTAAAAGGACGTTTATACCGGCTTCCCACCCATGTAAAGAATCACAACCACAAACTCCCATGCCCAAGTCAAAACATCAGACAGCGTCCCCAAAACCCAGACCCAGTAAGCCAGAATCCGCATAGCGAGCAAAACCATCTGCAGGAGCGCCACGATGACGCACAGTCACATCTTCTTAAGACGCCTGTTGGCGACCCTGACTTTGCCCTCGACCCGATCGACATCCTCGTCGAGCGAGTCCAGCAGCTCCGTCTGTCGCTCCACCTCCTCGTTGATCTGGATGCCCATTTCCTTCTGCCTCCGTATGATCGCCGAGAGCTGATCGATCGCCTGGTCCTGGGACTCCATCTCCCGCTTTTGCAGCAGCAGCACGCCCTGGTTGTCGAGCTCCCTCGTCCTATCTGTCTCGGGTAGCGGTGCGCCCAACACCCTGCCCGTCGGCGCGGGCCTGTGCCCTCCCAAGAGGTTTGACCTGTTGGAAGAAGAAGCCTGTACATGGCCCATGCCGCCACGACTGGTTGCCGCCGGCGCTCCTGGCATGCTGCTGGCGAGCTTGTCCAAGCCGTCCCGCTCCATCTTGGCCGCCGAGACAAGATCCCGCCTCCTCCGTATCTCACCATCGCCCAGCCTGCCCGACTCTTGCATCCTGCGAAGGCCGTCGGAAAGGTTGTTGACCAGGCCCGACGCCTTCACCAGCACCCTCTTGGCCGCCGCCGCAGCCTCCGCCGCCGCCGAAAAGTTGCCGCTGTCGGCCGCGCCGTCTCGTCTCGAAAGGGATTGTCGCGCCTCATGCAAACACTGCTTCACTTCCCTGTGAACATCAAGCCAAGCTCCCGGATCCGCCACCCCTGAGGCAGTGCCAACCATACCTGCCGCCGACACTGTAGAATTGCTCGTGCTAGAACTGGGCAGATTCAAGAACGTTCTCCAGGCCGAAGTGTCTCGCCATCTCCGATCAGGCGACTCTGCGATTGCTCGGAGGTATGTCTCGAGGCCGAGCTGTCGCTCGCGTGTGAGGTCCGGGGAGTTGATGGTCGACCTGAGCCAATGCTTGCCGGGCAAGGGGTGTGGCGGCGGCGCGCCGACCTGCTCGACAAGAGCGTTGTGGAGGGCGTCGAACTCGGAATATCGCTTCTGGACGATGAAGGAGCGCAGCGGTAGGCGGAGGCTAACGTTGTAGAGAGTATAAGGCTTCGACGAGCCCTCGTCGGAAACGCTCGTTGAGGGTATCGCAATCTCGGGCGGTGGCGCCATGGCGGTTCTCGTTTGCCTCTATGATAACCCCAGGACGATCTAGTGGATGGAAAAAGAAGTAGCAGATGATATTAGTATCAGATGCTCCTCGTCGCTAATATTGTTTGAGAAAACCACTGAAAAATCAACGGCTCGCAGAGTGGCATCTATTTGAGTTTTAAAGTTCCGATGATGATGCAAGCGCGAGAATGGCGGGCTTCTCGTCCATTACGGTGCACGCATGGATGGATCTTTGGGGGAGTCTCAGTGGACCCGTCCCGGCTTTTAGTGCCTGCCAGCTGATGGCCGCTCCCCGTAATGCTACCTCTGCCGCCCTGAAGTCTGCTAGGCGGTGGAGTTGGATGGACCCCTGCGCGGCTGTTTAATTGCTGCTGCGGCGCCAGCCTCTCCCGAGTACGAGCTCAGCTACGACGCTGCTAGGCAGAAGAATAGCGGCCTATTCACGAGTACGGCTTGCTGTGTGATCTAGTCTCACAAGATCTGACAAGATGAGGATAGGACATCGAGAATGATGGAAGCCTTAGATCCAGGCACTATCTTTGATCTGTTGAATCTACAGGGCATACAGCCCAACAGCCCTAAGCGCCATGCATCTTTTAGGACGAGTGCCCTCAGTAAAGTCAAGACGGATGCCGGGTAAGGTACACGTGCAGCTTCATTGCCCCATTCCTTTGTACCGTCTTGGGCACTCAGATGGGATTGCATGCAAGATGCTGATGTCGCGTGCTCTTCATAAACCACATGCAGCCTGATGGAGGCCGTACTGTTACATCTACATGAAAGAGACTCTGTCATTGTTAAAATCGACTGTGGATACAATCCATGCTGTTCCATGACCTTCGTGCACTTGACCGCTTCCAGAATGCGATCTGATGCATCGAGCTCCGCACCGCCTGGGCTGACAGAAACGACTATAAGATTCGGGGCTCGATATTCCGTACAAAGCACTAACTGCTTTTTGATATTACAAGTGCAACGACAGAGCAGAATAGCAACATCCACACAACGACGTATTAATAGTAGTATTGTCCAAACAGTTGTAGTACTAGTTTGCTCTATAGGATTTGACACCCTAAGTTCTCTAACAAAAAAAAAAGATGTAAATGACGGCACCCATGAAGGCGTCTACCACGCATGCACGGCCATATGCTTTGAATCAATTTCCCCCACAGCGCCTCGTCTCCCTACCTTCTCCCCCCTTTCTAAGCAGCCAAATCCAACTCTCCGACAAAGAGATAGTCCCCGTTTAGAAAGTCTCCTGGTCATCCAGACCCTCGCCCTCTGCGGGAATCTCGAAGCCCTCCTCGGTCGAGTACAGGATAGACTGGATGTGCTTGACCAGGCCATCCTCCTGCTTCTCAAGCTCGGGATCATCCTCCACAGCCTGTTGAATCAGCAGCTCAATGTCACGGAGCTTGCTAAAGTAGAAATCTCGCTCGCGCTCCAGGCCGGTGACAGTCTCCTTTAGAGTCGCATTCTCTGCCTGCAGAGCGGCGGTAGCAGGGCTGGGCCCCGCCTTGGCGGCAATGCGAGGGCCGGTGCTGGGGGTCGTGCCGCCTCTTCGCGCGGCGCTTGAGCTAACAGCAGCAGCCCTGGGCGCTGCAGCCGCGGCGGCTGGCATGCCACCGCCCTTTCTCCGTGCAACTGCGTCGTAGTCGTGGTCCGGGAAGTTGAGGTCCCAGAACTTCTTCGTCCATTGCAGAAACTCCAGGTTATCCTGCATCTTGCATTTCACCAGCATTTCGACGGGGATAGGCTTATCGACCTGGTGCTTGAGGAAGGTGTCTGTGTTGGTGTGGGCCGTCAGGACATGGTCTGCACAAAAAGGGGCCCGCCCATCAAGGGGGTTTGGGCGAGGGCACACATACTCTGCAAAACTTTGAAGTTCTGAATATACGCATAGTCGCCGCTGGCGTTGAACTTGACCTTGGACATGGGCACATCCATGAATATGCTGTCAAACACCTGGCAGAGCGCGGCGCTGCAGAGAAGCTTCGTGTCAGAACTCGTTGGTATCGTAGCGGGGTCGTCCGTCCGTCAGGCGGGGTGCCAAAACAATAACACTCACCCAGTGCCGCATTGCTCAACCTTGGTGATGTTGAGCTGCAGGAGGCTGTTCAGCCAATTGAGAAGCTCTTGTCTGTTGTCTGCAGTTAGCCGTGCTCCTCCATCGGCGGTTCGGAGGCGCAGTGTAGCGAGAATGCAGCGTACCTGGATTCACCCATTTTGTCAGGCTATAGATGGTACGCAACAGAAAGCAAAGACAGCTGGTCGAATAGCGCTCGCCGTGCGGATGCAGACGCCGAAGGAAAAATAGCTGGGAAAAAAAAAGGGTAGAATGAAGAGGTCGGGTATCGCGTAGAAAAGGGACTGCAGAGCCGGAGGCGTGGCGCAGGGCAGCGAAATGAGGATGACAGGAGAAATTTATTCAGCTATTCGTTCGCGTGTTGTAATGTCAAGGCTTCGTTTACAGGCCTGTATTTTGACGGCGCCGTCCAATCAGCGGGGTTGCTCGGAGAAACAGCTAGGGAGAGATAGCCGCTAATCTGCCGTAATTATTGCTGGCCGCTGTTTGGTGGCTGAGAACTGGGGAGCTGTCTCACCGCCAAAATTTTCAAAACGGCAGAAAAAAAGGTCTCGGCGCAAAAAAAGTCAGAGTCTTGGATTTTTGCTTGCGGCCCCGCTAGAACTGGAAGTTTCTTGTCGCAAACACATTGCGAGCAGTTTTCAAGATGGCACCGTCACAGAAGAGATCAATTGAGGATGATTTCATCCATACCCTTTCGGATAACGACGAAGAAGTAGCCCAGGAAGAACTGGTTGCTGCTCAGCCTCCCAAGAAGAAAGCAAAGACGAATAAGAAGTCGGCCAAGAAGAACAAGGATGAAGAGCCCCAGCCTGAAGAAAACGAAGGCCAATGGGGCCAAAAGGAGGAGAATGACGGTGCAATGGATTCTGATTTTGAATTCATGCTAGACGATGCTGGCCAATTCGGTGAAGACGGATTTGAGGGATGGGGTTTCGAAAGCGCAAAGCAGGGAATGGCCGTTGAAAAGGTCGGCGTTGATCTGGATGAGATTATAAGAAGACGAAGGGAAAAGAAGAAGGGAGGCAAGGAGTCTGAGGCCGCGGAAGAGGGCGATGAAGATTCTGCGGAGGTTGCTAACATCGACATGGACGACGACGAAGACGGAGTGCTCGCAGATGATGCATTTGGCATGAACGTCGACGAGGATGCTGAAGAATCAGGCGAGGACGCCGAAGCCAAGGGCTCTGACGAAGAAGAGGGCGACGACGACGACGATGCAGCTTCAGACAACGATTCTGTAGCTACGCCAGTCAACCACCCCGACGATATGTCCGACGACGATGACGATGACGAGGAAGATCTCGAAGAGAAGGCTAAACGAGATGCTTTCTTCGCCCCCGAAGAAAAGCAAAAGTCTGGAAAGAAAGTGGACGCCTCATCCTTCCAAGTCATGTCTTTGTCGAGGCCCATTATGCGTGGTATCACTGCTGTCGGCTTCTCCAAGCCAACGCCTATCCAAGCCAAGACTATTCCCATCGCACTTATGGGCAAGGATCTCGTCGGCGGTGCAGTTACGGGTTCCGGAAAGACAGCAGCCTTTGTGCTTCCTATTTTGGAGCGACTTCTCTACCGACCCAAGAAGATTCCTACCACCCGTGTTGTGATTCTTACTCCCACTCGTGAGCTGGCAATCCAGTGTCACGCCGTAGCCACAAAATTAGCAGCACACACAGATATCAAATTCACTCTAGCTGTCGGTGGTCTCAGTCTCAAAGCTCAGGAGACAGAACTTCGTCTGAGGCCAGACGTCATCATTGCGACCCCGGGTCGATTTATTGATCACATGAGAAACTCGGCCAGTTTCTCCGTTGATACCGTTGAGATTCTCGTTCTTGATGAGGCCGATCGAATGCTTGAAGACGGGTTTGCCGACGAACTCAACGAAATTCTTACAACTTTGCCCAAGTCACGCCAAACGATGCTCTTCTCCGCTACCATGACTTCCACCGTCGACCGTCTTATCAAAGTCGGCCTCAATAAGCCCGTGAGAGTCATGGTCGACTCGCAAAAGAAAACAGCCGGTACATTGATTCAGGAGTTTGTGAGACTTCGCCCGGGCCGCGAAGAGAAGCGTATGGGTTATCTGGTACATATCTGCAAGAATTTTTACACCGAAAAAGTCATCATCTTCTTCCGCCAAAAGAAGGATGCTCATAGGGCCCGAATTATCTTTGGTCTCCTGGGCTTCTCGTGTGCGGAGCTCCACGGTAGCATGAACCAGACACAGGTAAGCTACCTAGTACTATCTATAACCAAGTAGCCTGCTAACATTTACTCCCCAATAGCGTATTGCCAGTGTTGAAAACTTCCGAGACGGCAAGGTCTCCTACCTATTGGCAACAGATTTGGCCTCTCGTGGTCTGGATATCAAGGGCGTTGATACTGTCATCAACTACGAGGCTCCCCAGTCTGTAGAGATTTACGTGCACAGAGTTGGTCGAACAGCCCGTGCTGGACGTAACGGTATATCAGTGACACTTGCCGCTGAGCCCGACCGTAAGGTCGTCAAGGCTGCTGTCAAGGCCGGCAAGTCTCAGGGATCCAAAATTATAAGCCGCATCATCGAGGCCAAGGATGCGGACAAGTGGCAGGCTGAAATCGACGAGATGGACGACGAAATCGAAGAGATTGAAAAGGAGGAGAAAGAAGAGAGACAGCTCGCCCAAGTCGAGATGCAGATCAAGAAGCACGAAAACATCATCAAGCACGAGGATGAGATCAAGGCACGGCCAAAGCGAACATGGTTCGAGACGCAGCAGGACAAGAACAACGCCAAGCAAGCCGGAAAGGAGGAACTGAACGGCCCACGCAGCGGAAAGAAGAAGGCCGGCTCAACTAAGCTGAGCAACAAGGACAAGAAGCGCGCCGATCTGAAGATGCAGCGCGCCGAAGGAAAGGAGTGGAAGAAGAGCAAGACGGACGCCAAGAATGCCGTGGGAAAGAGTAACAAGAAGAAGGCTGCTCCAGTCAAGAGCAAGGCAAAGGTGCAGGTGAAGAAGCCAAGAGGGAAAAGGTGAGCAGGTGGATAAGGCCAGTTGATCTGTAAATAATGTGTATTTTTCTGTCATCTACTATTGGTCCAATCCTGCGGAAATTGTGTTACTCAATAGAAATCATTACTCGGTGCACGTTTGTATATATTGAAGGCGACGTTATTACAAGGTACCTACCTATGCAATAAGAGCTGTTATCTGGTGAATGTTTGTATAAGATAATAGCTTGTTATTCCTTAATAGAAGCCCTTACTTGATACATGTTTGTACAAATTGACAACTACCTAGGTGATTAATCTTCAATAGAAATTGTTATTTGGTGCACGTTGGGGTTGAGTCTTTGCAGCTGATGGCCCACGTTTTGTACGCCGCCTTAGCGCGTGCTGTTGTGATGACATAATGCGCCTACAGCCACTATGGACCACTTTCCAACGGCTAGCTTCACTCTTGTCATGAACCCAAGCCATCGATCACGAGGTCCGGCGCAAAACTCATTGGCTGCCTGCAACAAATGGCATCAACTGCGACCTGAAGCGACGCGCATGTCAGGCGCGCGCCGCATGTGGTAAATCCAGGGAGTCGACGGACCGCTGTCAGAAGACTGGCTCGCCTGAGAGGCCCTGAGGCTGATCTGAGCTTCGTATTGGCCTTGCCTTGCTGCTGGGAATATACTCGTTTATATATCGACCTATATATAAAAGCGGCTCGAATTCGCGAGCTGGCCCCTTCTTCTGATTAGTCACTAAAGAGAACCCTGGTAGCAAAGCTGTCTCCCTTCAGGTTACCGTTTGGGCTTGGGCGAGCTCGCACGCACCGTCGCCACAGCCAGAGCTTCGTCCGATATCTTCTGCCACCACTCGTTCGAGATCGTTATCGCGAGCGCTTCTTCAATTTCCACCTCGACACCTTCCCGAGGATCAAACACCGCATACAGAGCCGCATATATCAGTACATCCTCGGTCGACAGAGCAGGCGACGCACCAAGTCTCGGGTCCTTGACCTCGTCGCCCGGCAAAGCCAACGGCTGCTGCTGGGACAATCGGGACGGCGGCCGACCAAACATGTGACAGGGCGACCGGCGACAGCACCGTTTAGACAGGCCAAGATGCCACTGCCGGGAGACATGGGCTATGCGCCCCGGGTGAATGATGCGGGAGATGTCGAGAGGGGCGAGAGGGGCTATCGGCGGAAGAAGTTTGCTGCCATGGCCGGAGCTATGGCCGGGAACATATACCGAACTGGACAAATTGCTGTGACGGAAATTCGAGAGACGTATGCTCAGTCCAAAGCGCGGGGCCTGGACGGCGACTTCGACGGGCCCGGCAGCATGCATATCCCGGGAGCATTCCCAGGGGTGGCCATAACGTCGGAAAGCAGCCCCGAGCAAATGATGATGTTCCCGTGCTATGCGAAACAACACACCAAGAAGGAGTATAACCAGCCTTCGGCATACGAGTCCGAAACCGGCAACCTGCAGGACGAGGACTACTGGCGGTCAGAGTGGGAGAGGCACCAGGACGAGAGAGCAATCGTAGATGTTGACGTCCGAGGCTGGGTCTATTCGCCCCATTCTGGCCCAATGACACGGCGAAACCGTATCTTGATCGGCCTTGCGCGGCAGCTCAGTGGGATTCCCGTGCCGAGAGCAGACCCGGTTCAAGGAACAACGCCCCCGACTGCCAATGAGGAATGGAGGGAGCAGGAGAAGATTGCCCAGGAAGCTGCCAGGATCGAGCAGCAGGGCCGAGAAGAGAAGCGAATAGCAAATGTCGGTGGCTATAGCGAACCACCTCGCGAGGACACTGGCTTGGGTGGAACTGTGTATCCTCCTCCTCCTCCGCCTAGGTCACTGCCTCCTCGACGAGATAGTCGAACACCTGATTCGCTCTCTGGGAGCCCCAGGCCTCCAACCAGGCAAAACTCAGCAGTGGCCAACGAGCTCACCGAGGCTGAACTAGCTACGGCAAATGCCAACTTGATGGCCAGGATAGCACCCTTCTTGACAAATCCCTCAGTGTCTCTCCCCATCACAATCTTCTTCTACAATGATTCGCAATCGCAGTCCCGCAACGTTCTCACCGACGATTCTGGCCATTTCGCCATTCGAGCGCCCCTCGAATTTGTTCCCACCCACATCAAGGTA